TGTGTGTGTGTGTGTGTGTGTGTTTATGCTTGTGTGTTGAGTGTGTGTGTGAGTGTGTGCGTGTGTGTGAGAGAGTATGTGTGTGAGTGTGTGCGTGTGTGTGAGAGAGTGTGTGTATGTATATGCCCAAAAATCGACGAGCGCCTGATTCCACCGAGTCGCCACACAAGTTTCCTGTTGTATCGACCCACGCGCGTAGACATTTCTAGTTGAGTAAGTGGCCACACTGCATGTACTTGTAAAACAAAGCCAGAGTCGACAGTTACTATTTGAGGAGAGAACACAAGAGACAACTGGCCCAGGCACTCATCGTCAAGGTATGAATTACACACAATGTCCACTACACAATGGACTGAATAACCGCACTCGTGGATTGAGGTCAACGCCCGCTCCAGCCTTTCACTAGAAGACCTGGACGTATTTAAATCACTTGTATTAAGTTTTAGGATCAGGAATAGATACCATAGGAATTCTCGTGAGCAAGGATTGAAATTTTGCTGCCGAGAAAGAGAGAGAGTTAGAGAGAGGGAGAGAAAGAAGAGAGAGAGAGAGAGAGAGAGAGAGAGAGAGAGAGAGAGAGAGAACTTTCTAAGAAGGATATTATTGCACTTAATTTACCATGACCTATTTGTGTCTGCAAGTATCGTACAACTCTTACGTAAACTAAACTTACTCACACATGAGCATACTGCGTGTGGCTTTCGGGCATTTTGTTTTTATTTCTGTAAGAGACAACAGCTCCAATGTGACTCTTTAAGGAAGTAGAGGCCACATGACCCAATCACCAGAAGACCAAAGACTTTTGCTGATGGTCATTTAGGGCTGTGAAAAAGGGAGACGGAAAGACAGAAACAACAGACAGAAAGTAATGAAGCGCAAAAAGTAAGTCAGAGAGACCGACAGAAACAACAGAGGGAAAGTAAAGAGGCGCAAAAAGAGAGACAGACAGACAGAAACAACAGAGGGAAGGAAAAGAAGTAGGACCTTCCAATGGCGCTCTCTAACCACCCACAGACCAAAGGAAACGAAGCGGGGAATTTGGAACCGTCTTACCGTTATCAGAAACACAAACTTGCATACTTCAGTGTACATGTTTATGCCCGTAGTCGCCCGCCTTCTTCTTTCAGATTATTTTAAAAAAACAGAATTTAAAATTTATGTGAATGAATGATGAAGTCATGCTTCTTTTTGCAAAGTGCCCCAAAACAGACAGCATCTTGTTTTATGTAAAGACAACAGAACTGAACATGTGAATAAATAATGAAGTTATGCCTCTTGAAAAAAGAAAAAAAACTAAAGTACCCAAAACAGGGCGTCATCAGACGAGTGACCAGGACACGCAGTCTCGAGGAAATCCCCTCTCCTTTCACAGGTCGGAGCCAGTATGGCGCGAAACCATTAAAAAAAAACACAACAACAACAACCTCAGCAAACAACACATGATCAGGAACACACATCGGACCCACAGTTATAATGATAATAACAAAGGTCACTTATATGGTCGCTTTTAAGGACAAGCGGGCTAACACAAATTTCGGGGGTTTCCAGAAATCTTGACCTACACCAAAAGTGGGCTTTGCCCTACCTATAGAAGAAGTTTGGTTTCATTGGTGGGTATATGTGTTTGGTTATAGAAAAAACTCTCCTTGTCTTTTAAAGAAACTGAGCAAGGGGCAGAAACTTTACCTTCGATTTTCTCCAAACAGCATTTTTCGGGATAGCCGTGTGTCTCCAGGGCTTTGCAGCGAAATAGGATTTCCCAAATTGGACAACTTACACACTACGCTTCACGCATTCCGACCCGTTCAAAGTGCAACAACAAGTCTTCTCAAATACAAGTAGATCTACGAGTATGCACCCAGAATCTTGAAGTTAGAACAAAGCCACAAAAGGTCAACCACCGAGGCTGCTGATCACAGTAGAAGTACATCTAATTGTTCAAGGAAGATTCCAACCAGCCGGTAAAACAAAACGTGCCGGAAGTGTATATTAAAGATTAAGCAAACTTGCAGGGAGTGTAGATTAAACAAACATATCGCTAGCCTAGTGTAGACACAAACAGTCTGAAGAGCCTGCTCAACAAGACCAAGCAGAAATTCAAAAATCAAAAACTGGGGGGAGGGGGGGGGGAACAGCCCTCAATGTCTGCAAGTGTAATTATGTCCGAGAGAAACACGCTGGTTCGATAACGACCGGCCACCCACATCTATCTACTGCAGTAGCGGAGAAAAAAAATGAAGATAGAGGATCAACGTGGTGATATAGAGGATAGGAAAGAAGTAGGGCCTGCCTTCCTGTGACGCCATCCAACATCTCGCTCCGTGACCAGCAGTAATAACGAGAGGCCTATTTATATAATGATATTATCGGAAACTGTAACATGGCATGCAGACAGTAAAGAAAACTTTGTCTGCTACCTAAAATAGGGCCACATAATGATGAAATACGTTACGATAGCGGGGAAAGAGTATACCCAAGAAATAGGTTTACGGCACTTGCATCACATTAAGGTCATAATATAAGTGCCGAAGAATAGACGTGTTTCAAGAGAGTAAGATACACAAAAGAGAAGGAGGAGAGAGAAGGACGATCGATGTTTGATAGAAAAGAAGGACCAAAACCACACCAGAGCACCAGCCGAATTTGAACACAGTTGAAAAAATATTCACTGAACAGAAATGTTTTTTACCTGATTGCGTGTTTACGCCCTTTTTTGTAAGTGTTTTACGGCACTCGCAACTGTATAAGGTCAAATGTTTTTACGCTCTCAGCGACACAGTGGAAATCATTTAGGTGGTATGTTCTCTTGGTCTTGCTGGTCAGGGTCCACTACAAGGATAATCTCCTTGGTCCACTAACACTGAGATAGAATATAACTAGCTGGGCCCGCTTTCCATGAAAGGAATGATCGGCGCATTAACATCAACTGAAAGTCATTGGCCTACTATATTTACACTCTGCTGGAATGGAGCAATAAATTTTGAGAGACGCAAAAAAAACAGGTCTAATTTTATAGATCTACCCTCAAAACAAAAAGCGCCTCGCGAAATATCACTTTCGGCACTTCCGCTGTGAAGGACAACTCTACGCAGATTTGTTTCGTTTCTCAGTAGAATAATCACAAAGACCAAAGAAGGACGAGAACTTCTTGTCAAATACATTTTTTTAAATTCAGGAAATGAATAAACAATGAATTGGGCTCCGTCATGGGGACCTATCTATCTTTTCGCAGGTACTTGTCAACTTTCAACTCTGTTGCTGTCGTAGTTTTATGGGAAAAGTGACACATGTGTTTCCAAGTTGCCAAATACATAATAGATACGTGTGAGATACAGCAGCCCACAACAAGGATGTTGACACTCAATCACGGAATAACTTTCCCCTCTTGGGAACCGAACTCGCTTCAGAAATCTTTAAAAACATGGGAGGGTGGTCGCGGTCTGGAAGGTTTCACTTTTCAGTTTTAGTAAAACGGTTTGTTGTTGTTGTTGTTGTTGTTGTTGTTGTTGTTGTTGTTGTTGTTGTTGTTGTTGTTGTTGTTGTTTTAATAAACGTTTTACGGCACTTGCAACACAATTAGGTCATATTATTAGTTCCGAAGATTAAAGGTTTTACAAGAGAGTATCGCACAGAGCCGCCATTCATCTGAAAAGAAGAAAAAGGGGGAGACAGGTAAGGACGAGGACAGATGTTTGATAGGAAGGGAAGAGTAAGTCACAGCAGAGCACCTGCCAGCCACCCACGCGTTTTCTGATGTGAGTTAAACCGCACGCGAGAGAGAGAGAGAGAAAGAGAGAGAGAGAGAGAGAGAGAGAGAGAGAGAGAGAGAGAGAGAGTGTGTGTGTGTGTGTGTGTGTTTATGTGTGTATATGTGTGTAGTGTGTGTATATTTGTATGTGTGTGTGAGTATGAGTGTGTGCACACGCGCGTGTGTGTGTATGTGTGTGTGTGTGTGTGGTGTGTGTGCGTGTATGTGTATGGGTGTGCACGCGTGCGTGTGTCTGTGTGTGTCTGTCTGTGTACATAGGTCTCACGCTGATTTTGCTTTGTAGTTGTTTAAAAATAACCCTCCAAAAAATCAAACACAAGTCAAAGACAGAATCTTCCACTTACCAGATCAGGACGCCGGCGAACGTGCTATAAACGTCACTTCCAACCGCGGCAGGCGAAAATAGAAATGTGAGCGTCTCATTTCCTTACCCTGCCCGACCAAACAAACCGACCGACCGACAGACCGACCGTGCGCCCTCACTCCCGACTCACGACTCAGCCCCGGGCACTCACCAACGACGTCACCCCC